ACAAAGTGTTCTCAGGTAGATCCAAGCAGAAACACAAAGCTGCTCTTATATGTTGAAAAAGAGCCCTCATGGTTAAATACAAGGCAGGCGTGTCTTCAGTCTGTCTTTAGAAGCAGTTTTCCTGTTTGTCTCTTGAATGTCTCGAGTATTCAGATTACCTCTACACAACCCAGTTCCTGCTACCAGAGAAAACACGTGTTTTGTTGTGGATTATGAAGTTGTATTGTGTTTGTCAGTTCCTGATAACCTGAGGGGTGACAGGGAACACTTGAAGAGGATTCCTCTGCCCCAGGATATCGCCCAGGTGCCCAAACCTATGCAGCCTCACCGCGTCAAAGACCAAGGTCCCGCAGAGCGCCTACGCCACCGCCAGAGTGAGTTCCTTCAGCATACTTTGATACGAGTGAACCAACGGAGAACTGGTGGTTTGGATGCTGCAGTTTTTATTCATTTAATTTTAAGAGCTGAAAAATAAACCATTGTTGAAGTAATCAGATATTTTTGTCAGCTCTGCCTTTTTGGCTAAAACATTCTGTGGTTCCATTTGTGTGAACGTAGAATGAACCAAGTGAGTCCAGACATGTGTAACTGAGTGGAGCTGTCGGCGAGTAGCAGCCGCAGAGAGAAGAACCGTAACGCGCCTGGCTCCCACATTTGTCTTCCCTGCAGTGCAGCTTCTGCTTTGCTCTGCTCTCTTCTCCTTCATCATCTCCCTTGTTCCATTTTCAGACTTGCACACCTTTCCAGTAACATGCAGGCCACCAAACCAGTAAGCACGGTGTCTGATCGAGCACCTCGGTGCTCTTCTGTATCATGTGACACCGGTCTTTCTAAGCTCCTTCGTGATCGCATAAAAAAGCCTGAATCGATGCAGTAATGCTGATAATGTGTTCACGGTAGGGCTGGGCTACATTAATTTAATTTACAGATGGAATTATTAAGCAAGAATTGTTGCTCTGCCTTTATTATGTGTCTCAAAGCAAAGCAGGGAAGCAACAATGGAGCGAGCAGCAGCATTCCAAGGCTTGGGCCTTCTTCTCGCTGTCAATGTAATAAAACTGTGACACCTAACAGCTGATCACGGTCCTTATCCTGCTTCTTGCAGCCTCTAGTGTTGTGTGGCCCACATCTGCCAGAAACACGACGGCTGCTGCTTAAACCTCTGGACCCCCACACCCATTGTTGCTTCAGACTTGTTGCTTCCACTTCTTTTTATCTTTGCCTTTTATTTGGGCAAATCAAACCAAATGTAATTCTTTTCTTCTTCTTCTAATCTCGGGTGCATTTCGAGTCCAACCCAGCCGTTGTTTCTAATCTGTAGCTGAACTGGAACATGAAATGCTCCAAAACACAAGTTTGTCTCCTTTCCCCTAATATGTTCTAGTTTTGTGGCAACATTATCTAATTTGTAATAAAATAAATTCACTCACGATTTGGAAATGAGAACTATAAAACAGCTATCCTGAACAAAACTATAATTTTCTCAAACTGAACTGAAATATTGTTGCTGTAATACTTGGTCCTTGTCGTATTGACAGGCTGTTGACATCAGTTGAGACCACTAAATGTTCTCACACAGCACCAACAACAGTTCTGTGACTGAATGGGCTGCACGCTCCACTATAGGCACTTTTACCACTTCCTTTGTTGGTGCCGTCCTAAAGGCCATCTTTAATTTCTTTCATCAGAAAAACTTGTCTCCCAGTTCCAATCTTCCATCATGACTTCAGCTCACTCTGTGTCACATTGTTATGCAGCATTTCCACTTCCTTCTTCCTACACCTGCCTCTGCTTCCCTTCTTTCCTGATGAGGCCCTTCTCTGCCTCCTGCAGGCCGCTTCTTTGATGAGAACGAGTCCCCTGTAGATCCGCAGCACGGCTCTAAGCTGGCGGACTACAATGGGGACGATGGGAACGTGGGTGAGTATGAGGCCGACAAGCAGGCCGAGCTTGCCTACAATGAGGAAGAGGATGGTGATGGTGGGGAGGAAGACGTTCAAGGTGAGCCAGGTCTGAGGGGACTGGACTGCTTGTTCAGTGTGTATCCATCCTCCCTCCCTCCCTCCCTCCTTTCCTCCACCCTTGTCCCGCCACTGCCCCGCTGCATTTGTCTCGAGGAGCTCACAGGACCCTGAGTTTGGTTCTTGATGCAAATCTCATAATTTATGATGACAATCTGTTCAGGATGAAAAACTGTGTAGGGAACACTTGATCCTTGAACTTGTGGTTCTGTGAGTAACCCAGCTGCCATCTAGTATTTTCTGTTGTGCCTGTGCTTCTTTTTAGCTAAACCACCTGTCTGTGCCCACCAAGCATCTGACCCACATCTACGCCACAGGATATAAATGTATAAATAGCTCACGGCTCCTCAGTGTGTCTCTGTTCTCCATTGAAATGCATGTCCATGTTGTGTGTGTCTGTGTGCACGTAGTTGCTACTTGTTATTGATTTTTGACAGTTTAATTTGTTTCAATATCGTTTCTAGGAAAAAAGCTAATTTTGCTTTACTCCATCCAACAAAACGCTACATGTGTTGCAAAGGGAAAAAGGGAACTGGAAATACCTTCTGTCTGTCTCTTCATGTTTTAAACATGATGACTTAAAAAAAACCAGTGTACCGACTCCATTTAGGCGAGTGGCGTTGGGTCACTTTCAACATTTGGGCTGCCAAGTCAAATCCAAGATGGCTGCCAGAGCCATGTAACATGTAAAATGTCTTGATCATTTGAGGAAACTAAGCTTTCTCGTTTTTATATTGCTTAAATGTGAGGTTTCCTCAAGTAATGAGGGTGGTGACCCTTGAGGTGACCAAAGATCCTGACCGTAGAGGAAACTGCTCCTTCCACTCGCCAGGAGTCTTCATGCTGCGCTGCCTCAGAGGAGCCCAGATAAATGACCACCTTTATTCTTATACATGGTGCTTGAATATCTTGCTTCAAGACATTAAAGTTAACTTGCAGCCCTTTTGATTTAAAATCCAGACCAACACTTGAAAACAACAAACGTTCACTGTTTCAATCCGTCATCGACGGGTACCACTTGTTCCACTCGTGCAGACTTCTCATTTGTTACGTTCATTGTGTTTGTCGTCATTTGTCAAAGCACAAATCACTTAAACTTATTTATAATGTGTAAAAAAACAACCTGCACTTAACTGAGATTGATCATTGAAGGGTGTAATTTGTTCCACAGCTGTTCGACTGCAGTTCGATGCGCTGCAGAACTGTCTGATATGACGGCGCTTCACTCGGTGCATTCATTTTTCTGTGTTTGCGTGTTTTTACTCCCAGATGACGACGACCGTGACGCTCAAGGCGATCGGGCTGTGGATTATGGGAAAAGACGCCAAGTCAACGACATTCTTTGAGTGGGAGCTCCTGCAGCTTTAACTCGTTAAAACACTCCGACCTTCGTCTACAGTCAAGGTCGCTCTGGAGAACACCGTTTGAACGTCAACGAGTTTAGGGGTTTTTAGGGTGCATCCACAGTGTCGTGGACTGTTTGAGACACTGTAACTAGCGGATTAGTTCAGAATAAAACAACAATTCAAAGAAAATATTGCATTTCCTGAGCTGCTATAGATTTGCCAATAGTTTTTAAGTTATGGTGGAGATGACGTACTGTACGTTGACTGTTTAAATTTGGTACTGGATCAAAGCTTCAGTTCATCGTGGAGCAATACGAGAGACCTTCAACTCAACTCTGAACTTTTTTATTATTTTTCTACTTTTCTCTTTAATTTTGCTTGATATGAAGAAAACATGCTGTTTTTTATCCAGGTAGGAATATTGAAACTTTTCGAAGAGACTAAGGTGACGTTCTTTCTTTCAAACATGTTGATGGGATAGATTGAAGAAACTTTTCTGAAGACTTTTTTTTCTTCGGGAGTCACTGATTTAATTGCCAAGGACTTTGCTTGTGGCCTATTAAACACTTTCTGTTTGTGACGGAGACGCCCACGATGTTCCTCGTTCTGTTTTTAATGCTGTTGCATGCATTAGAGTTGGTTTTGGTCATCATACTGAGCAACGTACCATTGCTTAAGCAATACTGAAAATGGTGTTGGTCTCTCCCACTTTGTGCAAAGATCTACCGTGCACACATGGAACTGGCAGACCCGTGCTTCCGTCAGCTCTTTTGAACTATTGTTGAACTGTTAACGTTTGTATGGAGGAAACTTAAGTCCTCACCTTTTGGGGAAATCTGTCATCCTGAAACTGGTTGTTTGTGCAACCCAGAGAAATGGTTTCTCATGGAAAGGCATATTGAATGTAAATTAATTTAATTAAAGGTGATGCTTCATGTCGTTTGTCACTTTTTACACCATGCTATATGTATTTATAGATGAGCAATGAGAAGCTGCAGATGATGGATCTTGCTCTGAAAACTGATGAACTTGATTCTCTGATCTGAAGGTTTCAGCTAAAGCTTTATTTTGACAAATATATTTATACGTAGTGGTGAAACAGAATCGTTAAGATAACAATATCAAATAGTAAGTAAAGTAATAGTTTATATATATATATATATATATATATAGTACTTGAATTTGTTGCCAACTGGTACGTTTGAATATTGAACACTCATTGCAACCTTTAAAATTAGTTTTTCCTTAATTGATTGTCATAAAATTAAAAAACTGCTAGCAAAGTTTGTGACTTGCTAACTAACTCCACATGTGGTGGTTTACCTTCAAATAATCTGAAGTGATGAAAAATGTCGACTTGTAAGGACAAGCAGTTTGGGATGGAGAACTCTGTGTACTGTTGTATTCCCAGATTTGTGGAGTAAATAGGACTTTGTTTACATCGACGCACACTTCAACATAATGTGATTATAATGTAATGCTCCGTGCCGTAGTTTGCATTAAGTGCCTGTAGGGACGAGCAGAGGCGCCGCGGACAGCCTGGGTCGTGATGAGCTCGCGCTCAACACACTGGCGGCTCTTTTGTTTTTTCTCCTCTGCGCGAGGTGAAGGGGGCGTGTCCGAGTCCAGCTCCGTGGAGCCGGAGCAGAGGCGGGAAATGGCGCCTGCTAACACATCGGTGTGTCATTTCCACGGCCCTTGAGCAGCGAACACTCGGGAGCCGATCGTGGAGAACAAGCAGTGCCCGTGTTGTCATGGTTTATCTGCCTGGATTCTTTTACAGCGGGCCACACTAAGGTAGGTCGGCAGTGTTGTCCAGCGCTGCTCCAGCTTCCTTTATTCGCAGTTAGCGAAGCTACGGAAGGTGAGACGCATCCGTTAGCCCGAGGCTAAGCTAGCTAAGCTAAGCTAGCACGCGGCTAAAGCACGGCCTACCTTGGCTAAATTCATCCATTGTTTTAATTTGGCATTTCGTGCGAAACCTTTGGCTCAATATTTACCTTGTAATAATAACCAGACGCCGCATAAATGTTAATACTTTATTATTTTTTAATGACATTTAAATTAGCGTGCGTCGAAGCTAACTTTCCTCTGGCATTCCTCAGCAGAGCTGTACTCGTTTATAACGATAATGTTGCCTTTCCTCCTGGTTAATTCTTTAAAATATATCCACCTGGATATATTTATATACCTCATTACGTCCTTTGGCATTTATTTTTAAATATTTTAGGTCTTTCAACTGAAACGCATCCCTGTTCGTTTATATAAAAAAGCTTTTCAGTAATTAATGAGCCTTCACGCTGCACCGTACCTGGATATATATTATAATCTTGTTTATTAGACATTTTCACGTAATTTCACTCGGATTACGGTGACGGTAAAACAACCAGTAGGTGTTTGCGTGTTGAAATGCTAACCTTCACAGCTGGAAGCTATCACGCAACTTTTAAACGCAGTTAAACGCGTTTTTTCCACCTAGCTCTGCGGTCAGTGTTGCGTTTGGACCCCAGCTCGGCCTCCTGTGAGCTGGCCTCGTACCTGGACTGGGCCTCGTACCTGGACTGGGCCTCGTACCTGGACTGGGCCGTTCTGGTCCATGTTCACAACTCGTTTGTTGCTGCGGTTGAATGAGCGAGCTGTTCCTGAGCTTCTACTTTAACTGTGCGCGTCGACATCCAAGGCCTCGCCACTTCTGAGCCTTTACATGTTCCTATTTCCCGCTCACTTGCACGCTCCTAGCGATGTGCACGATCCCGGTTAGTGGCTGATTTCCTGCCAAGGCTTCCAGTTCTTGTGCTGCTGTCATTAGTGTCACCTCCACACATGGCACTTTACACAACATTTAAAGGATCAAGTGCATAAATTAAAGCTGTGCCAACAATAAACCGTCTGTTTGTGTACCAGTAACCCACTAAATCAATATTTACACTCGTGTGTTTCTGCTTAATCAAATCCAAAAGACATCAAAAGTTATGAAATAAGCTTAAAGCATCTTTTAATATTGACTCATGAATACTCAACTGCAGCTAAAATGCCTCTACTTGATTATTTCAAAGGACATGTTGAAACTGAAAGAGGTGTGCTGCTTTTAAAATTGCAATATCTGTCAAAGTAAAAAGCAAAATGATACGCAGGAGATCTGTATTACTAGAAAATTCACCTTAGATGTCAAAAATGTTGTTCTCTACAAACAACGCACCTCAAAGTGTGTTTAAGTCATCAACAAGGGAGACGGCCGTCAGCAAATATTCAGCAATTTAGACATAATTATTCATGTAAAGCTGCACTGAAGTAAGAATCTTTGAATTGGAGATAACTTGAATGAATCTCGATGCCTGAGGACGTTGTGTTTTATACTATACAAATAGATGTTATTTAATGTCACCATTAAAATGAATGTAATTGTGCTGAGTCTCATAAATAACACATTATCACTGTGATCAATCAGCAGCAAATTGGTTATTTATTGGTTATTTACTGCTATTTATTAGACTGAGTTGGCCGTGGCTCCTCGGCCCGATGAAGTCCTCTGGACAAAATATGAAACGTTTCAACAAAGAATCCGTCCAGAGGACCAGACTCAACTTCTTTAAACCTTACACGCTGTTTTTTCAACAGTGAATTTAAAGTGGAAGTATCTCCTAAAATGTAACAAAAATAATAAATATAAAAGTAACAGAACTGAACACTAAACCGAGCATGTTTCTCAAAGTATTCAAAATATTAACAGGGTAAAGGATCAATGAAAACTTCAGGCTCGAAGCTCCTCCCCTCAAACTGCACCTACTTCCTATTCAAGGTTTTTCACTGTTCACCAATAAAAGAAACAGAAAAATACCAGTACTACTGTAATATGACTTAAGGAAACTAATGTTTTTTTTTTGTCTGTGTATGAAAAAAGTTTTTGTAAAATCGTGTGCGTGCATGTGCACTGTTGGAAAGGCACGTCTATCGAGCAAATACAAAACATGCGTCACATGTCGCTGATCATATAAAATAAATTGACAGTTTATTCTGACTTGACTGTTTATGATGAATTTTAATGGCTGGAAACATGCTCGATGGAAATGTTGTTTAAAGATGATAAATATATATATCGACTTTTGGAACGATCCTGTTAATATCTTTAAAAAAACTTTCACTTTTCAAGTGTTTGATTTAATGCAGGGCCATGCACATCTGGTGGTAAACTACTTGGTAAATATGAGTGTAAATATTGGCCTACCCGTCCCTTTGGTATGCCCCCCCCCCCCCCACACACACACACACACACACACACACACACACTTTCTCTGTGTTTGGTTTGGTCCTCGTGGTCTATGGTGGTCTCACTGGTTTAGTCCTCGTGGTCTGTGGTGGTCTCACTGGTTTGGTCCTCCTGGTCTGTGGTGGTCTCACTGATTTGGTCATCATGGTCTGTGGTGGTCTCACTGGTTTGGTCCTCGTGGTCTGTGGTGGTCTCACTGGTTTGGTCGTCGTGGTCTGTGGTGGTCTCACTGGTTTGGTCCTCGTGGTCTGTGGTGGTCTCACTAGCAGCCTCCTCATCCTCACTGAGCTCGCCTGTATCTGAAGTAATGTTCATCTAAAGTTTTGTTTGCAACAACAACAAAAGAATTCAAGACGACATTAAAAGGCTTTTTACCAGACGTACAAGTAGAGCGTCTTCAAAAATGTATTTAGCTTGTCCATTACAAATCTGACATTTATGTCAAGGTTTTTGAAATGTTGCTTTAGTAATTTTAAAAAAATAACAAGTTTCTTTTTTCCAGTTAAATATTAAACAATAGTTGGACTTTTTTTTAACATCTTTGTTTTACCTCAGGTTTTTACACTTGTATATTTAGGCTTGAACAGATTTTTAAAACTACACGTGGACACATTTTCCAAAGCTGTATAACATGATTTAATCACGATCTGTGCTTCTTTAAACTCATGTAACTTCTGTGTGCATCATATGTAACTTCTGTGTGCGTCATATG